GGGCTGAAGTCTAGTTGTGTGTGTCTGGTTGGGTTTTCCCCCAATCGTGTCCTTGTTAAGTGGAAATTTGTATGTAGCAGGGGTAAGGGATTTTGTGTTTGTGACTGAGGGGAAGATTCTGTGGGATGGGAATTCAGTGTGCTCCGTGTGATGCACGGGATTTTGTGTCAGAGGGGGCTGTGTGCTGTGGGATTTGCTGTGGTTGTGATATGTGTCAGTAATGCGTACTTGTGTGGGGGGGACTACCTAGTCCTGGCCTTAGAAAGCGAGTGGTGTGTGTGTCTGTGTTGGCTCGGAGGGGGACCAGTTTGAGAAGTGACTCTAAACCCGTGGTCATAGTTGGGTGTGTGTAGGAATGTGGGTTCCTCTGAAGAGGTGTCTCTGGCTAAAGGTGTCACATTATGTGTACGAGATTTTTCGAAGTAAAGAGAGAAAGAGAGAGAGAGAGAGAGAGAGAGAGAGAGAGAGAGAGAGAGAGAGAGAGTGTGTGCGCACGCACATACCTGTGCCCCCCCATACTCCTAGGCTTCTCTGCATTGTCCTGCAGGGTCCCAGCATTCATCATTTCAAGAGCATCTGGGCCTCCCATCTTGTTAATTTACCTGGATAAAGATGTCAGAGTGAGGGTCTCCATCTGCTAATCACACAGGGAAGAGTGACCAGGTCTCTGCTTCCGGAGGCATGGAATTTGGTTGGCTTGAGCGTATACACTGGGGGTTATCATGGGATACTTCAATGAAGCATCCAAATTCATTAGTCTGGTTCTGAAATTCCAGAATTCTTTGGCAATGTAAAATAACCCTATTTCTGTGATGCTGTTGTTGTTGTTTTTAATGAGAAATATAAGAAAAGCCTTACACAAGAAAACCCTCACCTGCAAAAACATGTAGAAATAAGTAAGGAAAACTTGTGACTCTGTGAGAAAAAACTACAAAACTTTACTGAGTTGAATACATGGAAGGGTAATATCATATTCCTAGTGGTAAGAACATGTGTAACAGTGTTAATCCCAATGAATTATAAGTTAATTGCAATAATTGGAAGGCCACTTTTGATTAATAAACATTTTCAGTCAGAATAATAATGAAATTATGGCCTTCATGTAAATTAAACATACATGTATACACTTTTTAGAGACATATGCTGAAAGACCCCTTAAATATAGAAAATTAAAAAGATTATAGGAATAGGTCAAAACAGGGTGAAAACCTAGTAAAACAAAGCATATGTTCCAGACACAGGTCCTGTTCCACCCGGCTGTCTTCAACGCTTACAGATTCTTGATACTGAAGCAGTTTATAGTGGAGAAGGGGTGATTTTCATCCTCTTTTTACACAATCTCCCAAGTAAACTAAAAAATGGTTAAAGCATATTTAAAATAATAAAAACTCCAGAATAAAACACTCCAATGTTTACAAAGATTAGATTTTTTTTTTTAGGCTTGGAAAAGAAGACATAAAAAATTGAATCCCTGTCAAACAGTAATTCTAAGAAAATACCAAACAAGCTGGGAAAACATTTGCAGCCAAAATAAAGGCAAATAATTAGTATCTTTATTCTACAAATAAATGGCTCAGATTAATAGGAAGAGACTAAAGATACATAGACAAATGACTGAAGGACAGACAATGCAAAAGAGGAAATATAATTTCTCAAAAAGCTCACCAGAAAATGTTGAGCCTCCTTAACAATCAGATAAATACAATTAAAATGAAGTGCCCTTTCCCCTATTAAATTAGCAAAGACAAAAAATACTCTGATTCCACAGTGTCAGCTGCTGGGTGGGAACACAAATCAATGTGTTACCAGCAGTCATGCTAACTGGTGAAAGTTTTTGAAAGGATTTTTGGATGTATTGAGAACCTTAAAACAATTATACATCTTCTGACCCAGAAATTCCTCTTGGGCAAAATCTATAATAAGGAAAGAAACTTAAATTTTGAAAAACATTTAAGCACCAAAAATGTTTACTAAATATCATTTATAATTATGAAAAATCAAAAATAAATTAAATATCCACACAACAGAAGAAGGGCCACACCACGAAGTGCTAGGTCCCATCAAGGACTTACTCAGGAGGTGGTGAGGGGGGACGAGGAGGGGATGAGATCTGTTTTGTAAGGCACAGGCTGGCTAGAAGAACAAGGTGTGCTTCTGCACACAGAGAATGGTCCTAGCCATGTGACGACTATCTGTAAACACATTAGAAAGATTTGTCACATGTGAAAACAGAAAACAGAAACAGAATCTGGAAATGACACCTTTTTCCCACCACTTCCTGGAGGCAACTTTATAAATCTGGTATTTTAAAATTATAAGAAAACAAACTGAAATGCTAATAGTGTTCACAGCATATTTTTCTTGATTTGGGGGGATACAGGAAAGGAAAGCAGTTATTTTTAATGAGCCAAGTGTTATTTTAAAAGAAAAATAAACATTAACCCTTCAGAAATTCATACTTTAAAAAATAAAGGAAAATGAGTCATACAAATCAGTAAGAAGCATGAAGACACACAAGCCAGACAGGTAACAGGTCTGAACTGCACATCAAGAAGTCTGCAAGCGGGCTGGGGAGGTGGCTCAAGGCGAGCACGGGGCACTGGGTTCGATCCTCAGCACCACATACAAATAAAATAAAGATGTTGTGTCCACCGAAAACTAAAAAATAAATATTAAAAAATCTCTCTCTCTCTCTCTCTCTCTTAAAAAAAAAAAAAAGAAGTCTGCAAGCATCTGGATACAAAGTGCATTAGTAAATAAAGAACCTCTTTTTTGGCTTGTCATATAGGCAAAGTGTGTGTGTGTGTGTGTGTGTGTGTGTGTGTGTGTGTGTGTGTGTTAATAAGACTTAAAATTAAGACTCTAATAAACGACGTCTGTTGATAGTGGCTCTCTTCAGTTATGACTTGCAGTCCTGTTATTTCCTAAGATGGATTCATAGTGCAAATTCTTCAAGGGACATGCAGAGAACTGAGCGGTTTACAATTGTTCCTTAGAGAAAACCATCAGAACAACTTTCAGTGCTGAATGGGATGAGGCGAGGAGAGTCTCAAAGCCTTTAAGATACACATACCTTTGGCCCAGAGATTCCCCTGCTGAGAATCTCCCCTTAGAAAGCAAAACCAAGTGCAAGGAAACTGAGAAGGAAAATGCTGAGATACTGTAAACAGAGGGCAGGTGAGTGGAGCAGAGGGGGGCGGAGCGGTGGGAAGGGAGGCCCTGTAGGATGAGATGGCCCATCATGCTACGCACACACACACCACGTGAATCCACCCTTCTGTGTATCTGTAAAGTACCAACTGAAAACTATCAGGAGAAGGAAGACTTGTAGGGTGGAGGAGGGGGTCGGGAAGGAGGAGGGGAAGCAAAGAGGAAGCCCTGGAGATGGAAATGGAGTGGATGACATGCCATTGGGTATCACTATGTGACAGTATCTATAGCTATAATGCACTAATAAGTTTTTTAAAAGACCCAAGAGGTGAAAGGAGGAAACCTAACTCCAGCAGCAATGTGCATAGAAGACATAAATTACAACCACCTCAGTTTCCAGCCCTGGAAGGCCAGGTGAAATAAATGAGGACATATCCATGCAACCAAGTACTCAGGCAGTCCTGAAGAATGAAACCCGGGGTATATTTATGGCTATGGAGAGATGATCATGATATATGAGACTAAGAATTATAGTCTTTGAAACAGTGTTTACAGTATTTCATTTCAAAAATACACATCTTTTTATAAACTATATAGATGTATGCCTAAGGAAAATGGACAGCAACAAACTTATCTGTGAAGAGGAAATACAAATATTCAAAGTAAAAAAAAATGTATTTTCTAGTTTTCTTAAAGGAAATAAATGACTTGTATTCTCACACACACACACACACACACACACACACACAAAGGTTAAAACAGGAATGCATCTAAATTTAAAAAAAAATGACTTCTAAATAAAAGCAGTACCTAACTGTGAGGCCTATCAGGAATCCGGGCATGGAAGTGGCCTTTACTTTACCCTCAGCACCCACCTATCTAGCAGCAAGATAAAGGGCTAGCTGAAAGCCAGTGCAGAGCTGGGGCATCCACCACTGTGCAAGCTTAGTCTACCTTGTCAACCTGGAGGCATGGCGTGTGCCTGTCCCACACACCCAGAGAGTCCACAGGTGGCAGTGTGGACTGTCAGCAGGTGTGTGGGGAGGAAGGGAGAAGGAGGAGGCCAGACCAAGACAGTACAGTCCAACACTCCCTGAGGTTCCTTACTTAAGACTCCCAGGAAGCCAAGCCCAGGACCATGGCTGTCCATAACAGCCCCTACCAGACTTCAAGGACCACCCACCCTCTTAACTCAGGAGAATGAAGGCCAGGCTGGGGTGATGGAGGCAAGGCAAGTTGAGAAAAGTCTAGAAAAGGGAGAAAAAGAACTAGCTGGCTCAAGAAGAGTACCTACTGATGGTGAAAATACCAAAGCCATGTTGCAGCCATCAGTGAGCTGGTGGGGAGCATGACTCTACGAGGTGGGTCTCAGGAAAAGCAGATCCTGCCCTGCCGGAGGGATGTGATGCAGGGTACAGAGAACCCTGTGGTGCATTCTTGCCACAGAAGCTGAAAGCAGACCTGGTCCCCAGAGTCGGGAGCCGACTCTCATGTAGAAGGATACAGTGGAGAGACAGGCTCACAGGCACCCTGGAAGGTACACAGAGTGGGACATTCCACAGGACAACCACCATATCTCCCAGTATGAACTGCACAGTCACACAAAGCTTTAAAAAATGGTGCTCTCAATAGCCAAACCACGCACCCAGCCTAGGTGTCCATCAACAGATGAATGGATAAAGAAAATGTGGTGTGTACACAGTGAATTTTACTCAGCCACAAAGAAGAGCGAGATTATGTCATCTGCAGGAAAATGGATGGAACTTGAGAACATTATGTTAAGATAAATAAGCCAGACTCAGAAGGTCAAGGGTCATGTTTTCTCTCATATGTGGGAGCTAAAGAGAAAAAGGAAAAAAAAAAGGTCGGGGGGGGGGGGGAATCTCATGAAAATCCAAGGAAGATCCAGAGAGTAGAGAAAAGGGACTAGGAGGGGGTCCTGGGGAATGGTACTGGCCAAATTCTGTTGTTATGCTGTGTGCACGTGTGACTCTGTGACAACGAATCCCATGATTATGTACAAGCACAAGGCACAGGTAGAAAGTATGGAAAGAGCGAATGACTGCCAAAGCCTGGGGCAGGGAGAAAAGAGTTATTATTTAATGTGTCTATTTATTTTGAAAGATGGAAATGTTCTGGGAACCTTTGTATAACAATGTGAATACACTTGGCATTACTAAACCACACAGTAAGAATGGTAAGATGGTAAATTTTATATCGCATGTTCTTTTAACCACAATTAAAGGTGAAAATTTAAAAACAAGTGCTTCTAAGTTTAAAAAATAAAATAATCCTGAGTATAAGAGGATAACCTAAAAAGGTATATTAAAATTTAGTAGGGGAAGAAGGGAAATGAATAGCTACATTATTCTCAGGGATATAGAAGTCATCTAAAAAAAAGTGGGGGAACTGCCTTAGAATAAGAAAGATACAAAAGATAAAACAAGCAAATGTAATTGGTGGACCATGTTTGGATCTGGATTGAACAAAGCTCATGGAAAGGGCATCTTGGACCTGACGGGGAGGCCTGGCTGTGGACTGCGTAAACCCTTTGTCTAAGGTACTTTGAATTTTCCTTTTTAAGTAGATATATGGAAATAAAAAATTTAAAAAAGAGTCAGTTAAAAAAGTATTAAGTACACAACAGCCCAGGAAGGGGGTCGAGCTGGCGAAACTTGCACAGGGAGAAGTGGAACGCGGAGACTGAGGACCTGGGCACACCATGACCCTGGGAGGAGCGACTTCCCACGGGTGATGAGGTGGCAGCTCTCCTAAAGGCAGGTCTTCCCGGAAGGGAAGGGAGAGAAAGTCAGGAGGGCAAGAAAGAAGCAGTTTCTGAAAAGGACAGGCGCTGAGCAAAAGGCCACAGGAGCCAACCCGAGAGAGCTTCTGTGACCAGAGCTGAAAGCCCTTGAATGACAAAATGAATGGTAATAGTATGGAATTATGCCTCACAGAGTGCACCCTCATGCAGCCTCGCTGAAATAAACTACTGCATAAACCAATGAGGAGGACAACACTTTCTCAAAAGGCAATTTCAACTACAAAATACAGAAGGAGCGAGGGAACAGGAAATCACCATTCAGATATACCGAGTAATAATGGCTACAGCAGGACCTATTTGACAGATGTCAGGATCCAGTGGGTAATAGTTTAACTCCTGGGTACCTGCATGGTTTTAAAGTTTCTCCCATAAGCTAACCATTAGTTACCAAGATAAACTTTAACTTTATAGTTAACTGTGACTGTACAGTAGAAAGACCTAACAGACCCATTTTAAGTCAAAGCATCAAGGTCGACGTTCCCACAAATAAGACACATCAACCTCATATCCCCCCACCAAGTGTCAGCAGGATCAGAAACCAGGTATCAGCGACTCAACTGTGGGTTGGGGAGAAAACAGACCCAGCCAATGAGGGCATTTCATTCAGCACTTCAGAAACGAAGGGCGAGGGATCGTGCAGCTAGCACTACTTTTGCTGGTGTACATTCTGGTAAGTCATATTTGTTTTAAATTTCATAACCTTAGAGCACATATTACAGATCAACCTCAAAAAAGGTTGGTTGGCAAAAAGAGCTGGAATAACAGCAGCAACCACACACCTTTTCCAGGCAGGAATCAGGTCCTGGGGTTCCAGGTCCAAACGGTCACCATGTGTATCTGCATTTGACCACCGTTCAAGGCAGTAGGAGAAGGCTTTTCACATCCTACCAATCTGGTCTAAAAGATTTTTACTGTAATTCAGGGCTTACATCTTTAAAGAATGAAGCATGCATAGTAAAGAAATAGGGTTTTAAGTGAAGATGGCCATGCGGATGATGTCAGAGTCCAAGAAAGCAGAAACACTGCTTTCTCACTGAATTATTTTTTAGAAATAAAAAAAGGAAAAGAGAATAATAAGCTCAAACCCTCAAACAGCAACCAAAAAAGAAAAAACCCTCTACTTGATCAGTGATAGCTTTACAAATTACAAGAAATTGTTTAGCAAAAATATATTCCCCTAAATCTATATCTCAAAAAGTTATTATCTAATCCTAAATCACAAGAGAAATGTCAAAACTTCACCCTAAGAAAAAGTTCTTAACCTCTGTAGCACAAGTGGCCTTATCTGATTTAATGTGAAATGATGTTGGGTTACTGGATAGGAAGATGGCTGTAGAAAGCATAATACTACGTCTTTTCTTCAGGGAGGATATGACAAAGAGATAAAAAGAAAAATCTGAGTTCCGTTCCTGCACCATTCCTTACAACCTTGTTCAAATCAACTGAGAATTTGGGAGTTTCAAGTTTACTTTATCTGTAAAATGGAATAAATATCCTAGATACCTAGAAGCATTCTTTGAAGAATCAAATAAAATAACACATAACATTTTATAAACCATGAGGTATGATATAAATATATTACAATAAAATAAGCTTTGTGATTGGATAAATCCAGGTAGAACCTCAAAATTCTGTTTACCTTACTGATACATTCCATGTGGTGAAGACACTGAATGTTATTTCTTCAATAAAACCTCAGGCCACATATTGGCAGACTGGATTCCAACAGCCAATTATAAGTTTTTCATTGGGATGTCAGAATCAAGGGTCTCCATTCCATGCATACCACAAAGAAGGGCAAGATCTATTAGCTTTCTTCCTCTGCAATCAAAACATTCTTTGTAAGCACTATGCCTGGATGACTGCTAACGTGTTGGATCTTCTCATGCAAAAAGGTTACCTACACACTTAAACTATTCACTGGTTTTGACTACACCAGGCTGACTTTTTGAGTTAACAAGCTGTGAGGACAAGTATAAAACATTTCAATTCAGGTCATTCAAAAGGTCTCTCTACAGGATAAAGTGAAAAATGTTGAGAAAAACTGTTCTCTGAAAGTTTTTCAACAGTAACGGCATTCAACCAGTGTCTCCTGGAAATGGAGCTGATAATGCTGGGTGAGGTAGGAGGGCAGGCTAAAACACTTCCCACAGAGCTGGCACTGGTACGGCCGCTCCCGAGCATGAATCCGATAGTGCTGAATGAGATGTGAGCTCCGACTGAAGGCTTTGCCACAGTCACAACACTGGCAGGATCTCTCTCCAACATAGTCGTGTTTCCGCTGATAACGAATGAAGTGTGTCTTGTTGCGGGGCAGCCCAGGGGGAAGGGCCTCTGCTGCTTCATGGGCTTTGAGATGTTGAAAAAGATGCACGTCCTGGACAAAAGCTTTGCCACACTGAAAGCACTCATAGTAGTCCTCCTGACTGTGAACTCTTACAGCACCCCCGAGATCTGCCCGCGGGATGAAAGACTTGCCGACTTGACGATACCTAGAGGGCCTCGGGGCCGAATGAGTCTTCTGGTGTCTGGTGAGGTGGGGCATGAGAAAGAAGGCTTCGCCGCATTGTTTACACCCAAAGGGTTTCTTTCCAGTATGGATTTGCTCATGTTTCCTAAGGCCCATCTGGGTACTAAAGATCCTTTCACAAAATTGACATTTGATAGGTTCCACTGGCTGGGGTCTGATACGTGTTTCAAGAGCAGTGCGGTCCAGGGGACCCTCTCCTGGAAGAGCCCCTGATGGTGTGGTAAGATGAGGGTGCCTCTCGAGTGCATCACTGCCGTGGCTTCCTTCCTGAGCAGATGTCTTCATGTCACTCGTGGTCACGGGACTTGAAGTCTGATTCTCCTGGTTGCCAAGGTATGATTCTGATGGATCATCAGGAGAAGACGCTCCTACGCAGACATGCCAGAAGTTACCTACCTGACCCTCCCTTCCTGCCCCAAAGAATGATTTTTATATGGACAAGCTCTGCTTTGGGATTAATTCTTTGGTTTCAGGTCTCTTCCCACAATATAATTGTGGGAATGAACCTAAGGAGAAAATCAAAACAGGATTGGAGGGACAATAACCACTGGAGGGTGAAGAACAGTGGAAAAGAACAGAGAAGCCAGACTCAGAAAGTGGAATGAGGGGAACCATATAAAGACCTGGGATGGGGGCTGTCGACATTTTCCAAACCATGCTTGACAGATCACTAATATTTTGAAAAAGGAGTAGCTTTGACCATAAAGGAGTTCCACTGTCAAGTCAACTTGGGAAATACTATATGTTACAAATCAAGCAGGTTTTATTCCTGGATGATATGCATCTCATTTCTCCAAGAGGAAAGGGACAGAAAGTACCATTTCTAAACTGGTATTACCTGGGAATATTTTTAAAGAATACCTATTATCATGGTTCTTCAGGGTCATTGAGGAAACACTAAAATTAACAGGTCAACAGCCTCTTTCTCAGAATAAAGCAAAAGGATTCTAACCCTCTTTGGATCTTAATTTTATTTCTACAATGCCAATCAACCAATATCCTTCAATCCAAAATTTATTAAATGCCTATTTTGTGCAAGGCATTGCCCAACCAGATGATTATCAGCAATCTGCAAAGAAGACCTCAACCAAACTAAAATGATGGGGGAATTGATTCTTTGCAAAGACTAGTGGAAGGGATAGCATTTGGGCTCAGTTTAAGTTATGAAGGACATGATGACAGTCTTAGCAAAGACGATGAACTGTGAGGGCTGGGCATGTGGCTCAGTTGGTAGAGTGCCTGCCTTGCATGCTCAAGGCCCTCGGTTCCATCCCCAGCACACACACACACACACACACACACACACACACACACACACTATGAAAATACACAGTCCCAGGACGTCAGAAACACCAATTTCAGTTGGAAGATCTTATAGGAGATGAGGTTGGGAGGCGAATTATACTCCAGAATGGGAAAAAACTAAATGTTTTGCAAAAGTTCAAATTTTATCTTGAGGATGATTTTTAAAAACTGGTTAAGATTTGGGGTTTTATAAAGGCAATTCTTGGGTTGGAGGAAAGCCAAGGAAATCAAGTATAACTCTGTGGTTTGGAAGAAAGAATGATGAACACAGGGGTTGTATCCCCAAAGACCCCTGCAGTGTGCGAAGCAGTCTAGGTGGGACAGCAGAGTGGAATGCGATGTAGGAGGTCATCGGGTAAGGGGACAGCTGGACCCTTCACAATGGAGCAGGCATTTTAGGAAATGGCCTTTGGAAGGAAGACTCAAGAACAGAGGACAGAGAAGCACCCCTTCTCACTGGCCCTCTTCTGCTTTCCTCACCTGCTTACGTCCACTACTGCAGCCCCTTCTGCCAGTTCTACTTTCAAAGGGCAGCTTGTCTCTCTAGGCTTCCACCCATCCTCTGTAGACCAGCTAAACGGATCTTTCTAGAGTAGCAGTGCCCGACAGAAGTCCCTGCCACAATGGGAATGCCCTACGTGTCTCTAACACAGCAGCCAGTGGCACACGTGGCTATCAGGAATGGAAATGGGGCTGGTGTGACCCAGAAACTAAATTTTAAATTTCATATAAGTTTAACTAGTTTATACGTAAGTAGCCACACACGGCCAGTGCCTGCCATACTGGACAGCATCGTTCTAGAGTGACAGCACACCACCTGCTCAGTGCCCCCACTACTTCTCCACCTCATTGGGAACAGCATCGACTCTCCCATCTACCCCTATGTGGGCTGTGTTGTCTTTCTCTGTGACTCTCTCCGAGTCCTCGACACTTCTTTCAGGAACCCCCAAGCTCATCCAACCCCCGGCACCTTGGATTTACTGTCTTTCTGCGTGTATCAGTCTTCCTCGATGTTTCCATATGGGTCAGCTCATGTGGGGAGGGAATGGAAAGAAATGTCAGGGAAGGGGGAGTCTGTGGATGTCCACAGATCTAAGGAACCAGCATGGGGGAAGTAGGGGCTGAGGAAACCGAAGGGTCATTATGCCAAGGTCTTTTGCTTGCTCAGTTAAAGAGGAAGACCTATGATCCCACCACAAGAAAGGCACAAATGAATGAAGGGATGGAATACTAGAGAAAAGGACACTGCCCTCCCTGGAGCTGGGCCAAAGAGGAACTCACGCTGCAGGAAGAGGTGAGGGCAAGTGCTGAGGAGAGATGGCCCTTGAGTGAGAGCACCTCCCAGCCTTCTCCTGGACCCGAGGGCTTTGAGGAAGGCCCTGATGGCATCTGCTGCCCACCGGGCCCTCCCCTCCCCTGGGCAGGGTGCTGCCTTCCCACGGTTCTTATCTCCATAGCTTCCCCTCACCACTCACTTGGACACGTCACTGTCCTCCTGTCCTCCTCCACTGCCCGTGCCTCTTCTTCCAGGAGTGAGATAATGTCAGGTTTAGAGAACTGGCACCCTGTTGAGGAAGAAAGGAAATGTAAATCGTAACTCGGGGTTCAGCAACTCCAGATTCTGTGGGGGAATAGTAAGGAGGAAAACGGAGTCGGTTTCAAACCTAGAGAGCAGTGGTTCTCAGGGGCTCTTCCTCCCAGAGGACACAATGTCGGGAGATCACCTCTGTGTTCCAGCTGTGGGAAAGACCCAGGTGCTCCTGGCCCCTAGTGGGTGGAGGCAGGGTGCTGTCCACCATCCTGTGAGGCACAGATGGCCCCACATGTCAACCCTGCTGCTGAGTGAACCTGGACACAGGGTAGTTTGCCAGCTCTGTACTTCAGCAGGGGGAATCGGACACAGCTGCCCAAAGGGGGCCATTACAGGTCCCCTCTGCGGAATGCATTCCACTCTGTGTGCTCCTCCCTGCCCATCAGCTCCTCGTTTCCCACGCTGCGATCCTTCCTTCGCATGAGCTGGCTGATGGTCTGTCTTTTCCCACTCAGACAGGACGTCCATGAGGACAGAGGGACTACTATACCTAGCCTAGCCCTATACCAGATCTGTCACACCATGACTTCTCTGACAAATTAATGAACACCTGTCCTATTCTGGCCATATATAGGTGCCATTTAGAGAAGTAGATAGTGTTTACTTATATTTTTCTTTAAACCTCCTTCTTTGTAACTTAAATGGGCCTATTTTAAATGGGAGATTTATGTCAACTCCATAAATTAAAACAAATATCATTTGCAAAAACACCAAAAAACAAAAAACCTAGATACTGTAAGAAACCAAGATTATTCACTGCTAACTGGCTTTTTTTTTTCCCTAAATAAGAATTATACCTGAGGTCTTCTCTCTACTAAAATGGAAGATCAACAAGATGCAGAGAAATGCTAACACCAAACTAACACTTTATACCTGATTAGTATAAGAAAGTTTGAAAGAAAATTACAAGAGAAACATCTTTCAGCAGCAGCACATTAATATAAAGGAGAAGATTCTAGAGTCAGGCTACTTGGGTCAAATCCCATGTTAGACAAACAATTTAACTTGTTCATGACTCAGTTTCTTCATAAAATGGCACTAATGATAACAATAATAATAATAATGGCAATAAGAAGTCTCTCTCTCCCACAGAACCAGTGTGAGGATTAAAGAAGTTAAACATGTAAAGTGCTAGACTGGTACCTGACACACATTAAGTGCTCAATAAATGTTAACCATTTTATAATTAACAATGAGTTTAATATCAAAAACAATGAGTTTAATATCTGACCTAGGTTGAACGCAGTGATGACATGAACCAGCGTTATTGACACAACAAGACAACACAGGAATTGAGACCCTCGAGCCCAGTGGGCAGAAACGAGTTCTGTAGAGACAGCACACTTACCTAGGGAGAGCAGGTTCTGGTAATTCTCCAGCATGACCTCCCGGTAGAGGTTCCTCTGGGCAGCACTAAGGTAGCCTAACTCCTCCGGGCTGAAGTCCACGACCACGTCACTGAAGGTAACCAATTCCTAAAATACCAGGAACACTCCTAAGTAATTAACGTCCAGGAACGATCCCGGCAGCAAGGAGCCTAATGAGAGAGAACTGAGTATAAAGCAGCTGACTACTGGCTGAAAGTCCCCAGGTGTCCTAATCCAGGGGCCACGGGGCCTTGCTTTGTCTTGTGGTGTGAAAGGATGGGAACATCTCTGAGACAGTTCCTGCTGCTGATCACTACAGATTTAGGCTGGGGGAGACAGATCCTTTCAAGACACTTTGTAAGTAAAGAAAGCAAGAGTGCAAATACTTAAAACTTCAGGAGTATACCAGTGTCAGAATCAGAGTTGTGTTAAAGTCCTGGCTCTGGTTCTTAGAAAGTTCATGAGTTTGTGTAAGTTAACTCTCAGTATCTCATCTGTAAATCTCAAAGCACTGACAGATACGAGGAAACAGTCAATCCTATTAATTGACAGGGAAATACAAATAAAAAAAACACAAAGTACCATACCCATTCAATTGACAAAAATTAAGAATTTTGAAAACATAAAGTATATAAACATTAGTCCAAAGGATCTCTTAAAGATGCTAAAGGAAATTTAAAATGGTAAACCACTTTGAACCCCAAAATTATGTTCCTAGGAATGTGTGTTCGTGTGTATTGGAGAAATGATCGAGCATGTTTATAACAGTACTGTTTATGACATCTACAACCTGGACACGATCCAAGCATCCACTTACAGTAGAGGAGATACACAACGTGGACGAGGAATTAGAACGACATTCCATAAACTCACATCCACTAACCAAGGTACAGACCGCCATCCTGAAAGCCCAAGGTCGATTCAAAGGCAGATACTAGAGGGCTACATAAGCTATGTATCCACTTTATTAACATACATACACTTTTGTATTTTAATGGAGACTGTCTAAATTTGTTATGCAGAGCAACCAATAATAGATTAGATTAGCAGTCCTGTACTGGCTGCTCAGCTCCTACAAAGGGGTCTATTGGATAACCCTGAGGTTTTTTATTCTTTAAAAAATTTCATACTATCTTCCAATATAAAAAAGTTATACGAGATTTCATATTAACTGGTTTTTATGCTTTTCTTAAAATAATAACAAGATCTAGGGACCTGGGCCACATTCTCACATGGCATATTCACCCCTTACATGAGGCAGCCACTCCTAGTGTGTCCTGATCCACCCAGAACAACTCCTCATTCACATCACCGCGGCGCCCACAAAGCATCTTCACTCAAGTCACTGACAGACAAGGGAGGGACACAGGCCACGCTCAGGAACACGTGTTCCCAACCTTTTCCTCTTCACCCAACCAAGAAGCCTTTTTAGACAATCTTCCTACCATCCCACCATGGGTTTTTTTTCTGATTCTGAAAGAAACACAACATACTGATTTCATTATTTGTCCTTTAGGTTTCCAAGGTGTCATTTAACAAGAACATTAAAGAGCACACTTTTTAATTAAACCCCTCACAACTGCACCACGAGGTGCCCTTTGCTCAGGGCTGCAGCCATCCATGCACTGTGTGCAGGTGGGAATGCTCCATTGGGAGCCTACCAGTCCTGGGCCACGTTTGATGGCCTTTTGTAATAATCACAAATCAGCACTGATCCACATACACACTCACTAAATACTTCTGAAACCACTATGCACACAAGCCATGACCACAGCGCTTTGCCCGAGAACCACTCTTCACTCCTGATGGGCAACACGACACCACTGAGAGTACTATTCTAGAACATGACTTTAAAGGGAAAGTCCCTCTCCAACTGCCGACCCTCAGCACCACTGAGTGGGACCAGGTAGGGCCAGTGTAAGCGGGCCTCCACTGGTAACTAAACACATGACGACACCACCAGTCTTATCTGTGTAATTTTAAGTAAGTTCAGAGAAGTTTTATGTTTGGTGACTTCATTAAAATATTTCTCATAGCCGGGGACAGTGGCACGTGCCTGTAATCCCAGCAATTTGGGAAGGTGAGGCAGGAGGATGGCAAGTTAGAGGTGAGCCTCAGCAACTCATCAAGACCCTGTCTCAAAATAAAAAATAAAAAGGACCGGCCTGGCCTGACCCATGAACCACATTCAGGCCCCTAGGCCCTGGTGGGCCCCAGCACTGACCCTGCCTGACCCGTGACCCATGCCAGAGCCCCTAGGCCCAGGCAGGCCCAGGGTGGACAGCTGCACAGAGCAAAGGACAGGGCTATGGCTTCCCAGCACCTGGTTCCTCTCAGAACTCCTCCCTCTTGGGGCACTGCAGCCACTGTAATAGCCCTCCCCACCTAGAGCCCCCACCCTGGGACAACTGACAGGGTGTGGAGGCAGCCACCCTGCAGCAGTCCACACCACAGCGCTCCATCCCTGAACAGGCCGCCCACAGCAATCCTAAGGCTGGCCCCTTCAGCCCCATCTCTGAAAGTGGTTGCTTCCATCTTGGGACACCTCCACGGCCATCTTGGGTCACCCCTCCTTGGCCGACACCACCATCTTCAGTTACGACGGCTTCCATCTTGGGACACTGGAGGAGGACTGGAAGCCCATCACCCAGGTACTTATAGATTTGACGCTACCGCTACCACCAACCAGGGAAGTGGCGGCTTCCATCTAGGGACAATAGCCAGGACCAGGAAGACCATCACCAAGTCTCTGCAGGCTTGGTCACACCAGAGGCATCCACCATTCTGTTGCAGAGGCAGGAGAGGCCTTACACGGGGTCGTCTCTTGCTCTCTTTTCTCCTGTTAACAGCCAGTTTCTTCTGATCCATCCTTCACTCTGCCTATGACCTCACACCTCTACATTTTCACCTCCTACCCATGACATTACACTCCACACCCACACTGCTTCTGTCTTTGTCCACCCTCTTCAAACCTACCGTCTCTACTACAGATAATAACTGAACACATCACTTCTGTTTGTTATGACAAAACTCTAATTGTCTAAATAGGGACTCGTTGGTTTAAAGTTATATATCATTTGCATTGGGAGCTGTTAATATTGATCTCCCTCTTAAAGGTGAGACACAGAAACCTACAGAGACACTTTAAGATTATAGGGTAGAAAGTGTAACATCTAGGATCGGCGCTGCTAGAGGGAAGATGCTCGGAAAGCATGAAAAGACAGGGAAGAAAGTGCCCCAACACACCAAGATGATAAAATAATAGAACTTTTTGACAGTATAGAAGAAATGTCAGAGAAGGAGTTCAGAATGTACATAATTAAAATGATCTGCAAATCAAATAATGACGTAAGAGAGCAATACAGCCAACAACTGATCACTTCAACAAAGAGATAAGAGAGCAAATACAGATAGCAAAAGATTACTTCAAGAAAGAGATAGAGATTCTGGAAGAAAAAAACAGAAATCCTTGAAATGAAGGACACAATATACCAAATAAAAAATTCAATAGAAAGCATCACCAATAGACTAGGACACTTGGAAGACAGAACTGCAGACAATGACGACAAAATATACAATCTTGAGAATAAAGTTGACCACACAGTGAAGATGGTGAGATATCATGAACAGAACATCCAAGAATTATGGGATAACATCAAAAGACCAAATCTAAAATGTATCAGGATAGAGGAAGGCTCGGAGAGTCAAACCAAAGGAATGCACAATCTCCCCAATGAAATAATATCAGAAAAGTTCCCAAACATAAAGAATGAATTGGAAAATCAAATACAACAGGCTTATAGGACACCAAATATACAAAATTACAACAGATCTATACCAATATGTTATAATGAAAATGCCTAGCATACAGAATAAGGACAGAATTTCAAAAGCTATGAAAGTTTCAGGTTACATATGTGGGAAACCAATTCAGATCTCAGCAGATTCTCAACCCAGACCCTCAAAGCCAGGTGATCCTGGAGCAGCATATAACAAGCTCTGAAAGAAAATGGATGCCAACCAAGACTCTCGTATCCAGCAAAATCAAGCTTTAGATTTGATGATGAAATTAAAACCTTCCATGATAAACAAAAGTTAAAAGAATATACAATGAGAAAGCCTGCACTACAGAACATCCTCAGCAAAATATTCCATGAAATGAAAATCAACAATGAAAATCAGAAAGGGAGGGGCTACACTAAAGGAAAAGCCAATCAAAGGAGAAACCAAGTCAAGTAAAAAGCCAAAAACAGACCAAAATGGCTGGGAACACAAACTCTGTCTCAATAATAACCCTGAATGTTAATGGCCTAAACTCATCAATTTAGACAGAGACTGGCTGATTGGATTTAAAAAAGACCCAACAATATTCTGACTTCAAGAGACTCATCAGAAAAGACATCCAGACTGAAGGTGGAAGGATGGGAAAAACATGCCATTCTTAGGGACTGGGAAACAGGCAGGAGTTTCCATCTCATATCAGATAAAGTGGACTTCACACCAAAGTTAGTCAAGAGGGTGAAGAAGGACATTTCACACTGCTTTAGGAAATCGCGCATCAACAGGACGTAACAACTGTGAATGTCTATGCCCTAAACAATGGTGCATCTACGTATATCGAACAAACCCTTCTCAACTTCAAGAATTAAACAGACCACAACACAATAATAACTGGTGACCTTACCATCTCTCTCATCACTGGATAAATCCTCCAAACAAAAACCAAATAAAGAAACTACAGAACTCAGTAATACAATCAATAATTCAGACTTAGCAGACATAATAGAATATTTCATCCATTAACAAGCAAGTCCACTTTTTTCTCAAGCAGCACACGGATCCTTCTCCAAAACAGACCATATATTATGCCACAAAGCAAGTCTTAGCGTGTACAAAACCAGAGATAACGCCTTGCAAGGCGGGGGTTGTAGCTCAGAGGTAGAGCGCTTGCCTTGCACGCCTGAGGCCCTGGGTTTGGTCCCCAACACCACATAAAAATAAACAAATAAAAACAAAGATATTGTGTCTATCTACAACTAAAATAATACTAAAAAACACCTTGCATTCTATCTGACCATAATGCAATGAAATTAGAAATCAATGAAAAAATTTTTAAAAAAGAAGCTACACCAACATCTGGAGACTAAATAACATGCTACTGAATGAGGCATGGATGACTGAAGACATCAGGGAAGAAACAGAAGAATTCTTAGAGGTGAATGAGAAATCTGATACAACATATCAAAATCTCTGGGATGTATGAAGGCAGTGCTAAGAAGAAAGTTCATTGTATTAAGCTCTTTTATTAAAAGAAGTAAACATCAACAGATAAATGACCTGATATTACATTTCAAAGCCCTAGAAAAAGAAAAAAAAATCAACACTAAAAGCAGAAGACAGGAAATAATTAAAATCAGGGCTGAAATCAATGAAATTGTAACAAAAGAAACAATTGGAAAAACTGACAAAACAAAAAGCTGGTTCTTTGAAAAAATAAAGTTGATAAACCTTTAGCCACCCTAACAAAAAGAAGGAGAGAGAAAACACAAATTACTAAAATCCAAGTTGAAAAGGAAACAACACGACAGACACCACTAGAACACAGAAGACAATCAGAAACTGTTCTGGAGACCTGAAAGTCCCGGAGACACTGACACCTTTCTAGAGGCATGTGGTTTGCCAAATGGAATGGGAGGGGACCTACCCAACAGACCACGTTCAAGCAAGGAGACAGAAGCCGCCATCCAAAGCCACCGACCGAGGAAAGCTGGGACCAGACGGAGCCTCGGCCGAGTTCTGCAAGACCCGCAAAGAAGGACTCCCACCAACACTCCTGAGGTTACCCTGTGGCTGGAAAAGGAGGGACCCTTCCAATTCATTCTATGAAGCTCATATCACCCTGACACCAAAGCAGACAAAGATTCCTCAGAGAAAAACTTCAGACCAATATTCCTGATAAACATAGATGCAAAAATTTTCAATAAAATTTTGGCAAATTGCATACAAAAACATATTAAAAATATAGTGCACCATGATCAATGGGGTTCATCCCAGCAAAGCAGGGTTGGTTCAACACATGGAAATCAATAAACATAATTCCCCACATCAATAGCCTAAAAAATAAGAATCATATGATTATATCAACAGATGCAGAGAAAGTATTTGACAAAATTTAGGCCCCTTTCAAGTTCAAAACACTAGAAAAACTAGGGATAGCAGGAACATACCCCAACATTGTAAAAGCCATCTATACTAAACACAGGCCAATATCATTCTAAATGGAGAAAATTTGGAACATTCCCTCTAAAATCTGGAACAATACAGGGATGCCTCTCTCACCACTTCTATTCAACATCGTGCTTGAAACTCTAGCCAGAGCAATCACAATGAAATTAAAGGGATCTGAATAGAAGAAGAAGAACTCAAATTATCACTATTTGCCAACAACATGATTCTATACTTAGAGGATCCAAAAGAATTCCACCAGAAAACTTCTAGATTTAATAAATGAATTCAGCAAAGTAGCAGGATATAAAATCAATACCCATAAATCAAGTGTATTCCTATTCATTAGTGATGAACCCTCAGAAAGAGAAATCAGGAAAATCACCCTATTCACAATAGCCTCAAAAAAAAAATACTTGGGATCAATTTAACAAAAGAGGTGGAAGACCCCTACAAAGATCACTCAGAACACCAAAGAAAGAAACTGAAGAAGACCTTGGAAGATGGAAAGATCTCCCATGCTCTTGGACAGACAGAACTGATGTTGTCAAAATGGCCACATGACCAAAAGCACTCTGTGGATTCATGTGATGCCAATTAAAACAAACATTGTACCTCACAGAAACAGAAAAAGCAATCATGAAATTCATTTTGAAAAATAATAGACCCAGAATAACCAAAGCAATCCTTAGAAGAGTGCAGCAGGAGGCATCGCTACAGCAGACCTTAATATACTACAGAGTCACAGTGACAAAAGTGGCATGGTATTGGCACCAAAGCAGACCTGAAGACACAAAGAGCAAACCCCCCCACACACACAGTTGTCGCATACTAGACAAAGGTGCCCAAAACACACCCTGAGAGGAGACAGCCTCTTCAACAAACGGTGCTGGGAAAAGTGGAAATGATATGTACCAAAATGACATTAAACCCTTCTCTCTCCATGCACCAACCTCAGTGGATCAGGACCTAGGAATGAGACCAGAGACCCTGTGTCTAACGGAAGAGAAAGTAGCCCTAATCTTCATCACGCTGGATTGGGCCCCAGCTTCCTTAACAAGACTCCTAGAACACAAGAAATAAAATGAAGAATCTAAAAAGCTTCTCAGCAAAAGAACTAATCAATGAAGTGAAGAGGAGCCTACAGTGTGGGAGCAAATTCTTACCACAGAAACATCAGAGAGAGCATTAATCTCCAGCATATATAAAGAACCCAAAAAACCTAACACCAAAAACCAAACTTCTCAATCAATACACAGGCTAAGGAGCTGAAACTGTTCAGCTTCTCAGAAGAAGATACAACCAACCAACTAATATAAAAAAATGCTCAACATTTCTAATAATTAGAGAGATGCAAATCAAAACTAAGATTTTTATCTCAAGATTCCATCTCACTCCAGTCAGAATGGCAGCTATCAAGAGCAGAAACCACAATAAGTGTTGGCAGGGTGTGGGGAAGGCACACTCACACACTGCTGGTGGGAACGGGACAGCTCACCTTTAACCTTTTTGGAGAAGAACATTCTATGGAAAGCCTTTGATGTGTCCCTATATAAATAAAGCAGGTGCGGGCTCCATTTTGCGGGATATAGAAGCTCGATGCGTATGACTAGCTTGCCTGTCCGGTCCCTGCTCTTTGAAATCATTTTCTGTGTCCTGTGTTTTTTAAATCATTCTATTTTTTCTAGCTTTTATTTCTCAGCCAGCCCACTCCACCAAGGGGAGCCCCATTCCCACTGCCTGCGCAGGATGTGGGTGAGAGGAGGGGCAGGGGATAGGAAAGGCCGTGGAATGATCTCAAGAATGGTGTGACCCTACTTCGTGTACAACCAGAGAAGTAAAAAATTGTGCTCCATTTGTGTACAATGAATTGAATAGCATTCTGCTGCAAATAAATAATTTTTAAAAATAAATAAATAAAAAGGACAAGGGAGGTAGCTCAGTGGTAAAGAACTCCTGTTCAACACCCAGTACCAACAACATGTGTGAGAGAGAGAGAGAGAGAGTGTGTGTGTGTGTGTGTGTGTGTGTGTGTTAAGCATTATTTTGGAGAAAACATAATGGTAGAACATATTATCTTTCATTAAAAATATAAAATCCGGGCTATTCTAGTCTGTCCATGCTTCCCAATGGACTCAATTATCTCAAATCTAAAAATTTAGTTCGATCAGCCAGGTAACATTCAGTATGTCTAACTAAATTTGTATTTCAGATGAACAACAAATAATTTCTTAGCATAAGCCATATTCCAAACATTGCATGAGACATATTTATGCTAAAAATTTATTCACTGTTTATCTGAGATTCAAATTTAATTGAGTGTTTATCTGCTGTATCTAGATAGCCTAAGTTGGGGTAATGGCACTTCAGCCATTACTTAGAAATAACTAACTGGTAAGGAATGTGGACCCTGAAGCCGGACTACCTGAGTTCATATCGCAGCCTTACCATTTGACAACAGTGTAATCTTCAGCAAGTTACTAACTCTTCCTTCCTCCATTCTCTCACTTATAAAAATAAGCATAATAGTTCAAACTACACAGACTTAGATAAGGTGTGATATTAAAAAAAAAATCCAAGAATCCCAGTGGCTTGGGAGGCTGAGGGAGGAGGATTGCGAGTTCAAAGCCAGCCTCAGCAAAAATGAGATGCTAAGCAACTCAGTGAGACCCAGTCTCTAAATAAAATACAAAATAGGGCTGATGATGTGGCTCAGTAGTCGAGTGTCCCTGAGTTCAATCCCCAGTACACTCCCCCTGCAAAAAATCAAAGGGATAGAAAATATATAGTATATGGGATAATGTTTAAGTGCAACAAAGAAAAGGAAAGCAAGAAATAGTGGACTGGAGTGGTGGTGTTGTGGCTCAGTGGTAGAGCGCTCGCCTAGCAGGCACGAGGCCCTGGGTTCGATCCTCAGCACCACATAAAAACAAATAAAGGTCTTGTGTCCAACTACAACTAAAAAATAAATATTAAAAAAAAAGAAATAGTGGACTGGAGAGTCAAAAGAAACTTAGGGTAGCGATGGAGAAGGTCAAGGAGAGTAATATTTATATAATGAGCTAATGTAAATGAAGATGGGGTTTACCTAAATAGGTGAGGTGACAAAATCAGAAGGTCCGACTCATATTTGAGTACCAAGTGACAAGAAAGCCCGACTCACCTGGGAGCCACCGGAGGGTTGACTGTTCAACCTCTTTGTATTCTGTGGGTGTTCCTTGGTGCTCCTATTTCTTACAAGCACAGAGTCCTCAGCAGGGAAACCTAGAAGAGGGGATACCATGGAATTGAGTCCTGTCCCGCAGTATCCAGAGAGCAGCCTTCCACTCTCACACCACCCATCCTTCTGTGGGGGGCAGCAGGAGTCCTGGGCTTCCTAGGCTAAGAGAAAGACCACAGAATAATTCCTCTACTCAGTGGAGCAAGTTCCAAAAGAGAACACTGTCGTTTCCCAGCTCTGAACCCTTCAATGGCTCCCCACTGCCTTCCAAATAGTGAAAATTCTCTCTACAGTGGTGATCTCTGGTTCCACTGTTCCATCAAAATCACCAGGGAATCCGAGTTTCTCAACCGTAAAACAGAAGTAAGGGTACTCAATGCCTCTGAAAGCTCTTAGATTAAATGTTACCAATGTGGGGCAAACAGTAGGTCACTTTTCAACAGCAGCCCTCAGGGAGCCTTTGTTTCGTCTTTTTCATTCTCAGATTCAGAAGATAACATCACCTTCCCTCCAGAGCCTGAACCTTGAGGACCGTCCTTGCCTGCAGTCTTTTTCAAGTGGCTCACTGATTGTTGTTTCCTTCTCCTACCCTATGCAATTCTGTTCCCTGAGTTCCATGCCTTGGCCAAGTCTGAACCTCTGGGATAATATCCACTATGTCCACTTGAGGCAGTGTAACACCGTGAGAGCAGACACAGGCCTAGCTCTGGATCCCGACTGCCAATTAAGACCTGTGGAATCACCAGCAAGTTACTCAACTTTGTGCTATTGTCTCCAGGTCCATAAAACAAGGCTAATACCTATTTCACAAAGCTGTTAATAGAAGAAGATGATTTAATACACAAAAAACACCTACAATAATACATTATAAGTGTTCAATATGTTCACTGCACATATTGTAGAAATTCTAATAAGAAACACATGTACACAGTACTAGATTAACGATCCTTACCTCATGATATGTTATCAGCATTGAGTCAGGCATGATCCTCATATTTATTTTAAATTCATTCATTTACATTTTTAAATACAATTAAGGCCTGTGTCAAACTAAAACATTCCCAATAACTTACATCTATGCATTTGCTTCTTTTCTGTCCATGCTCTATCCTGCCTTCCAGAGATAGTTACAATCTTGGATTTGTATTCATTGTTCCCTGGATAGGTAGATACAGATATCTTCATATTGTACAAAACACTTTGTTTTTAGTATTATTTTCATTCAAAGGATTATGAAGACTGGGTGCCTTTCATCTATCATTCTTGAAACGTCCTTAGTTCCAATCTAATAACTTTATTTTGAAAGAGACCAGTAAATTTTAGAAGAGACTGAACTTTCAGGACTTGTTGTCTCCCACATTTTTTGTTCCCTTGCATGTAAAATTCAGCCATTCATTTAAAAAATTATTCTTTTGATTTGAGTAAAAAGACTAAATGATCCATAGACAATTTTTTCCCCAAACGTACACTAAATATGTCAATTCCAAGGGTGATCCTAGTATTTTTGGTAGGGTGTGTAGTTTTGTTTTGTATTAATACTAAAGTTTAGGCTGAGTAAGAAATGTGGGGGGAAGGGACAAAGCCAGAACTCTCAAATAATAAACATCAAAGCAAAAAATCAACCCCCCCCACATTTTCCATCTCACATCAGATTAGGCAGATTACCCTGATATATAAGACCATTTTTTCATTCAACAGTCACTCCTATGGACTGGGCATACGAGGGCAGTCAGTCAGCGGACACACCTGTCTTACCTTTTTCCCCACAGGCCTGGATCAGGTGTGCCACCAGGGCTCCCGCCTCCCTGCTGCTCTTGGGCTGCTGAGACCTCACCCACACCTGAACCTCCTTTGGCAGTGTGTTCAGAAACTGCTCCAGCACCAGTTGTTCTATGATTTGCTCTTTGGTGTGAGTCTCTGGCCGAAGCCATTGCCGACAAAGCTCCTGGATTTGGCTCACAGCTTGGTGAGGCCCGGTCACCGACAAATACTGAAAATGCCTAAACCTTTGATGAGAAACTTTCAGAGTCCCTGGGTTCCTTGTGGACATGGAATCTGGATTCTCCTCTTGATCATAAAGAGGAAAGATGTGGGAATTTCTCACGATATCCAGAACCCCTGTCACATGCAGCATCTTCACAGCTTGGCCTTTTACAGGATGGAGGCACACTCAAAGGCAGGCTGCTCCAGGACACCGTGTTGTAGAAGATGGTGGGCAGAGCTGCATCAGAAAAAAAAGATAGCAACACCCAGGACCTGCAGATATTACACAGATTTACAAATGGCCCAGAGTTAGGACTGGACATGGGGTGGAGGTGATCTGAAGTACAGAGACTTGGCTCATTTTGCACAAATGCCTAAATACAATTAGTAAATATTTGTGCACACTCTCACACAGATTCTACCTCAGTCCTATTCCCAGGTCTGGAAAATCCACAGAACAGGCTACAAGTATATCAGAAATGGCAAATGAATGGAAAAGAGATTAAAACCCAAACCACAATGAACCAAATTTATTTGATAATCTACAAAAGCAAGCATTTTTCATTTCAAAAATCATGAGATAAGACAAGTATGTTACACAGAATGAACAAAGATCTTCAAAGAAATGGATTCATATGTTAAATATAGGAAGAACTCATGCAGATCAGTGCAGACAAAACAAAAGCGAAAAGGTTAAAAGACTGGAACACGTATTACACAAAATAAGACAGGTAAATGGCCAAGAAACCAAATTGGGCTTGGCTTCATTAGTTAGCACAGACACACAAGTTAAAACCACAATGGGATGTCACTACATACCTCCCCGACATCCAAAATGAAAAAGTCTGACAACACTAAGTGATGGCAAGGAGATGGAGCCACAGTAGAAAGATATATTCATATGTTGAGACTCTAAACAGAAATGACAAAGAAAAGGGCTCAAAAAATCCACGTTATCTGGTTCCGTTTATATAAAACGGGCAAAACAACCAAGATGTTAGAAGAGCAGAGTAGGGAGGGACAGGGTTGATGGAAGATGGGTGCAATGGAGCGAGGCGGGCTAGGGCAAGGGGAAGGGTAACCAGAGAAGGAGTGGCCCCTGAGGTAGGGAAGGAGTTGCTGGTGAAGGAAGGCATCCCTGAGGGGGAGTGGGATGTCCCTGAGGTGGAAGAAGGCATCTCTGGGGTGGAGAAAGTTGTCCCCGAGGAGTGGGGTGGTCCTGAGATAGAGAAGGGCAGCCCTGATGTGGAGGAAGATGTTCCTGCAGTGGAGTAGGATGTCCCTCAGGTGGAGCAGGGTGTCCCTGAGGTAAAGGAAGACATTCCTGAGACGGAGTGGGGCAGCCCTGAGGTGGAGTGGAGTGTCCCAGAGGTGGAGAAAGGTGTCCCTGAGGTGAAGTGGCATGGCCCTAAGCTGGAGGAGGGCATCCTTGAGGTGAAAGAAGGTGTCCCTGAGGGGGAGGAAAGCATCCTTGGGATGGAGAAAGCTGTCCCTGAGGTGGAGTGGGGCAGCCCTGAGGGGGAAGATGTCCATGGGGTGGAGGAAAGTGTCCCTGAAGTGAAGTGCACAGCCCTGAGAGGGAGCAGGTGGTCCTGAGGTGGAGGAAGGCATCCCTGAGGCAGAGTGGGATGTCACTGAGGAGGAGGAAGATGTCCCTGAGGTGGGGGAAGGCATCCCTGAGGTAGAGTGGGATGTCACTGAGGAGAAGGAAGATGTCCCTGAGGTGGGGGAAGGCATCCCTGAGGCAGAGTGGGATGTCACTGAGGAG